TACTATAGATGTAGTGAAATTTATTGAAAGAGGGTCTTATTATTGGACATTTAGAAAGTTTTTTACAAATATTTGTTAAATCGATACGAACAAAACTGTATATCATTTCTGTCCAAATTTATTATTTTTATAAATTGATTTGTTTTGCTGACTTAAAGTATTTGAATATTTTAAAGTTCTTTAAATATTTATATGGCTGAATTTCACATATTTTTTTCCTTATTACTATGTTTTAATACAAAGCATACAATTATTTTTCCATACATACACACACACACACACACACACACATGCACAAACACGCACGCACGACACACACACACACACACACATGCACACACACATCCATTCTACACATCCCACTAAATAAGACTCCCTTCTCTCCTGAGCTAAGAAATAAATAAGCAATAGACCCAAATACATGAAAATAAAGTTACTTTTATCACTAAAAAAAAGCTTACTGTCAAACATGACTTATATGTGTAGTTTTAATTGGCTTCCTAATATGCATTGCTGAATAATACAGATTTACTTGCCTTATCACAGGTGACTCAGGATAGCCACACACAATTCTATTTAGGACAAAGCCTTCCCTGAAGCCTTCTTCAGGGGAATAAGAAAAAATGTGTCATGTAGATGCTGACATTAACGTGAGGAACATGTTTTTATTCTTTCTTCCAATCTCACCAATCAAAAAAATCTTTTCTCATAGCTAATTATTGCCCCTTTATAGAAAAATGAGGAGTGGAGAGTCTTTGTTTCCCAATATCTTTACACTCTATCTGTAAGTTTTTCAAGGTAGTGGGCTTAATCAATCTCCTAGATATAACCGTATGTATGTATGCAAACATATAAACGTGTACATTTATATATATAGATAGATAGATACTAAAGAATACACAAAGAATAATTGCTAATATTTTTTTTTAAATATGCAAGTTCTGCCATATGCTATGTGAGAGTTTACCAGTTATATTCTAGGATAATAAACCATTTCCTAAAGAGTTTAGTCAATTTGCTTGTTTGTCTTTGGTTTGTCTTATAAACAAAGCCATTGACATTTATTTTTGTATTTAATATTATTGGCTATAATTTGGTTATACAGTGATAAGACTACTGTTCCAGAAATAATAGCAGGAAGGCCTCTGGTTGGATAAGCAAAAAAAAAAAGCTTGTCTACATTGTCTTTACCATAGCCCTCTTTTTCTATATTCATAGAGGATTTTGAAGTTTTACTTTATTACTGGCATGTTACTTTATTCCAATTCTAATGTTTCTGTTCATTCATCCAAATGTCACTTAGCATTATTAATTTCATAGAAATTATAATTCTCTGTATTTTTGAATATATAAATGTTTCTACTGGATAGAAGTTGGCATTTTGCTTTCACTTTATTAAAACAATGTGCAAAACAGCTTGACTAGAAACATCCAAAATAGCAAGTTTCTTTGATATGATTGTACATAAGGCCTTTCTCTTTTTTGCCTAATAAACTGATATAATTTTCTCAAACTTTTTTTTTTCATTTTGTTGCCAGAATTAACAGTTTAGTTTCCTGTGTACAACTTTGTTTGTGTAGAAATAGTTTTTCACCGTGGCATAAGTTACCACACATTTGATGTTACTAGAGGCTATGCAGATAGTGGTGGGTAGTAGGCAATCACAGCAACAAGACTGATTTCTACATATCATTCTGGAGAGGTGAAATTCAAAACTATGTCTCAACAAACTAAATGTGTCATAATTCTCCAGATATGCTGAAAAAAATGCAAATCTTAAATCCCTCTATGTCAATCATTACTGCACTGAATTTTCCCTAAGGGTTATGTTTTTCTTTACCTACATATGAAAGCAGATATATTATCTTTTTATTGCCCGGAAATTCAGCTGTTGAAGCTATGAGAAAAAACTATGCTTGTAAGGAGAATTTAAAATTGCTCTTTTATTATATATTCTACTGAATTCACTAATGAAGCAATTGATTAAAGTGTCCTCCAGGGGTGAAATAAAAGAACATTCCATATGCCAAGCTATTTATCTCCTTGGCCCACCTCTGATCACACCTTACCCTTTTCTGTTTGCAGGCTTGGTTTGTGTGCAGGTCAAATTACCTCCTATTTTGTTAAACCTTTGCCCTGGCAGGAGGCACTGCCCCGATTCAACAACTGGGCTGTTATTAGCCACCTCCCCTTTAACATCATCACTTTAGCCATAATACAAAAGGCAGTTTTTAACTGATCTTATTGTTCATAGATGAAAAATCATCTACATGAGTTATAATTACTAAGGAGTTACACTTCTTTATTTCAAAAATACAAATAATAAATGGCCAAAGGATTTCACATTATTGCTTACTTGACTTATTTTTCAAAACATAAATCACCAAACAAACAAAAATAAAGCTTATACCTAAGCGGTAGATCTTAAATTTTAAAAATATGCTTAAATCAGACCTTAAGAATTCGGAAATTTTCCATCAGTTTATTATTTCAGGAAAGCTTTATCTTCTGATTTATGTTTGTCAATAGCTCTTGACTGTTTAACTTTAGGGATTCTCTGCCACCATATACACTCCCACTTCTACCAAGCTAAAATAGTTAATGATTTATGAAACATTTGTGTGCTTAAAATCCATCAAAGACTCTAAAAAAATATTTCTAGCCCTCAAAAAAAAACACTTGTTTTACAAATGTTTTTTTTCATTTTCAGTTATTTTTAACAAGCAAGGCACAGCAGCATATATGTTTAAAGGCAAAGTCCTCTACAGCTAACAATAATAATAGCTCCTATTCATGATATAGGCAGTAAAATATGGATTTTCAAGCATTAGTGGTCAGTTTTTTAAACTCTCAAATAGGTATTTCTTAATTTACTACAGGACCTAACTGAGGATTTAGAGAACATGATAATATATCCCTAGGTGATTCAGTCTCAGAAAGTAGAGCAATAATTTCAAACCAGGTATATTTGGATCCAAAGCCTGTGCCCTTTATTTTCATACCATGTTTTCACAATTGCCAGCTTTGAGTCATTTTTAGAGTCGAGGCTCATTTTCAGAGGCTCACACGTCTCACTTATGACAGTTTTCAGACAGAACACAACTGGATCCTCTTTTTTCCACCCCTGGTGCTCTTCACAAAAGTAATTACTGTTTTCTTTGCCCTGAACAAAATAATTGATTCTTACTGCCTAATTGGATTTTGATCTCCTTTCTCCAATCATCTCAGGGTCATATTTCCAAGGTACTCTTGACCCTTGGGAGAACAGAGAGGGGACCACTCTATTACATCACTCACTGAATGAGTCATGTTGAGTAACCCAGGCAGAATCTTCCAATCATCACCAAACCTGGTATTATTCAATTAAAAATGCTTCTGAATAAACAGTATTGGAATGGGGGGAAAAGAACTTTATCATGTCTGGCGCCTTCCTTTTCTTCCTCTTTCCTTCATTTCTTAATTTTGGACACAGAGCACTTAATGAACATATGCTGTATGTTAGTCATCGTTAAGTGCTACAGATGATAAGTACAATGCAAGGCGGAATAAACAGAGGTCAAAACTGATACCAGAAAAGGATAAAAATGGAAAAGGCTACAAAGCATAAAGGAAAAACACCACAGCCATCAAATGCAAAACCTTCATGAAGACTGTTTGGGAAATTAAAACCATCATCCAAATTTTGTAATGTTGATTTTTGTTTTTTTATATAAAAAACTGTATTTCATAATTATCTTTAAAAAAAGAAGAAAAAAAACTAGTTTACAGAAAGAACTATGTAAGCCAGAATCAGCTCTCTCAATTCCTACACCATGCCTGTATTAGTTTGGTAGGACTTTTATAACAAGAACCACAGACTGGGTGGCTTAAACAATAGAAATTTATTTTCTCACAGTTCTGGAGGCTGGAAGTCCAAGATCAAGATGTCAGCAGCGTTCAGTTTCTACTAAGGTCTCTCTCTTTGGCTTGGAAATGACTGCCTTCGTGCTATGTTTTCACATGGCCTTTTCTTTGCGCATATCATCCCTATTGTTTCTCTTCTTATAAGGACACCAGTCTTGTTAGATTAGAGTACCACCCTTTAACCTCTTAATCTTGATTATCTCTTTAGAGGCCCTGTTTCCAAATATAGTTGCACTGAGGGTTAGAAATCCAACATATAAATTTTTGAGGAACACAGTTCAATCCATAAAAACACCCATTACATAAATGGCTATAACTTGCAATAGAAGTCAGAGTCAAAAAAAAAAAAAAAAAGTAACTATGGTAGTTAGAAGTGTGGATGCTGGACCCAGAGGTTTAAATGCAGAGTCTGCCAATATCTAATCGCGTAAACACTGGTCAAGTTTCTTAGCTTCGGTGCATCATTCGTCAACCTTTAAGACAGAGACAACAGGAGCACCTACCTCCTAGGTTATTGTCAGTTGAAATAAGAGCTGGCTATTAGTGGCAGATGAATAGTTTTAAGGATGTAATTATTCCTCTTTCTCCTCAGGATATAACATCACAGGAATCGTGAGAATAAAATACAAGAGAAAAGATGGCAGAAAACAAACACTTTAACTAAGAAGTATTAACACGCCAATTTTTCTTAATTATAATAATTTATTCTATATAATAGTAATGAAGATAGGACCAACACAGAGACAGACAGTTTAGATTCTTAAATTTGTAGCCTAATTTGTTCTTTATTGAGCACCCCATTATGTGTCAGAAATTGTTCCAGGCACTTTGTGGAGACAACAGTGAACAAAACAGAAACCGCTATTCTCCTGAAGCTTGCATTCTAGAATGGACATATATCACCTTCGCATTTAACAACCACTTTTGGAGTTGGGAAAATGAGACATGACAAATAAAAAATTAAGAAAAAAGCCAATCAATTCACAATGTCGTACAGCACCGTTGATATTTATCACTAGCCAGAAAATATACAGGAACAATTTTAATTCTGGAACCTGTTGGATAGGCTTCCCCAAGTGCTGCCGGCGATCCCTGAGATGCAGGTTTGGGCAGACCCTACTTCTTGGCATCGGCCAACTAGTCCGCCCCGCCCAGCCTGGCCGCTGCTCCTCGCGCGGGCCGAAACCGGTGTTCGCTCTGTTGGCCGGGACCGCGGGATCACCGGCACCCCTGACTCCCCGCTGATCCGCGGCGAGTCGGCACAGGCGCGGATTTTGAAGCAGTTCTGAGCGCCCGACCCGCAAGTTTTAGGTCCCGACACGGCGGTCGCCTTCAGTGCCAGTGACTTTGGCTTTGGCTGGTGTCTCCAGATCCACGTCACCAGTTTGACAGCCTTGCATCAAATCAGAGGGCGGCGCTCACCCGGAGCCCCCAGCGTCACCCGCAGCTCCGGCAGATTAGAACTCGCCTCTCCTAGCTCCTCCCCTCAGTCCCATTTAAAACTCCCATCCGCTTAACCGAAAAATTAAGAGTGGGCTCAGTTTCTGCACCGCCTTCTTTTACTGCAAGATGGTAAGTGAGGAGCTGGCGTTAGCTAGTCCGCTGGCGAAACCTGGGGCTCTGAGAACTAGTAAGTTTTACAGCTAGAATTTCTTCCACTTTGGAAACAAGATTTCTCTACCTGCCAATGACGACAGGTCTTTTCTGTTGCCCATCTCCTTTTCATCTCCTGCATCCTTTCATATCTGTCACTCTGTCTCTCGTCTCTCGTCTCTCTCTCTCTCTCTCTCTCTCTCTCTCTCTCTCTCTCTCTCTCTCTCTCCCATTCTCTCTCAATGTAGAACTCTGAGAAGAATTAATATAAGGGTAGAATCCCTCACTTTCTTTCTCCCTTTCTCTCTTCCTTTATCCTCTGTATTATTTCTACTCTCTGTACTTTCTCCCAGCTTTCTCCCCCTGTACACCTGCACTCACTTTTCATTCCACTTCTTCCTCTAGATTATGCACATATTTGCAAACACTTGGACTTGAACTAGTCTAGGGGTATTTGGAGTTTTCTTCTCAGATGTCAATTGCATAATAGTTCAGCTCTAATTCCAGTAAAAACCTCAGGGAAATAGGCTACAAATATCCTTTTAGAATAAAATAGCACTTGATAAACTTGTGGCTAAATTTCTTTGGTCTGCACTGTGCAAGCTGGACCTACTTCAATACAGGACTTATTCAAATCTTAATTTATCGAGAACATTAACAAAGTATGACTTTTTTTAATTTGACTTTTTTTTCTCTTCTTATTTGTCTTTTCTCTGTTTTATGTTATGCTCCACCCCCCACCCCGAAAGTCTTCAAGTCAACAAAAGACTTGTAGTGGTCAAAATGTTTGTCCAAAGTTGGGCTCTGCTGAAATGAATGGCTTTTACCTGATTAAACATTGACAAATAATTAAGAATGGGCTGTTGTACAAATTAACCTAGGAAGACTGCTTCATACTTGCCCCTGCCTGGACATTTGGAAAGACAGTTTGTTTGAGGTTTGAAGAGTCAGGGATGGGTGGGTGTTTTCTGGCTTAGAACACAGTGGAGACTACTTTCCAGGCAGTTAAGAGTGGCAAGATAACATTGGAAGGGTATTGAGATCTAGTAATGAAAAGGCCTAAAGCTTGCTGTCTCTGCTGACCAACTTATTTCAGCTTTGATTATATGTTTACTTGGAGTTACTTTATGCTCTCATAGTTAGAGTTAGGAGTTAGGAGTAATATTTATTAGTGATCTCTGGAATATATCTATATATCTATCTCGAACCATTTAAATCACCACAGGATTCATCCAGCAGCATTTAAAGCCAGAGAAAGAAGAAAGAGACAAATGAGGCAAATTTATAATTCAGAAAGTAAGAAACTAAAATAACAAGGTTAAATTATATGTTATGTTCTGTTTATTTCAGCTCTGGCATTCTAGAATCCTTATCTTTCAAAGCTATTGGAAATATAATTAAGATATTTACTAGAAAGAGTCAAATAGTTCTTATGTCTTTAAATCATTAAGTAGAATTTCATTTACTTATATCCTGGGTAGCCTGTTAGATGACTCAGACATGGCAATAGAAAATAGCCCTGGATATTTACAAATTTGGTCCATTTGACACTAGCCTGTTCTTTACTGAAAGGGCCTAAGGAAAGTGCTAGGTAAACCAAGGAGGTGGTTCCTTTCTAGTAATTATATTTTGACAATTCAAAATTAATCTAGGATCTATACTTAGCACCTTTACTGATTTGGATGCACTGCATGTAATTTCTGCATCTTTCTCTTACTCTTTCCTCCCTCCAAATTCCCTTCACCCCATCTCCTGGGAACCTCCCTATCTCTCATACTGAATTTCACAGAACACCGTTCTGCCTTGCCAAGACCAGTACTTTGTAGGAGGCCAGAGCTGTAATTGCCCGTATTCCACTACAACGTCAGAATCTAGTGTTGATGTTTCCACGGAGACTTGGGTCTCTTTCTGGGCTACTGGTCTCCTGGACAACAAAGAGCCCCAACAAGCACCACAGGCACAGGGTAAGTTCATCTCTTCTGCTTTCCTGGTAGATCTAAAGCCCTTTTCCAACACCCATCGTTGCGAAGCATCATGGGCTGAAACTCTAGAAGAGGAGATGATATGAAAAGTTTAAGAAAGCTCAAAGACTCCTGCATTTTACAACCTAAATAACCTGTTCTTTTATACTTGCCAAATAGTGAAAATGGGGTTCTTCCTTTTGCCTACTGGACAATATGTATTTCTCCCTATACTTTACAATTCTTGAAGATTTCCAACTCACTGAGGAAGCTGGGTCTGGGTCAAAGTTTTATAAACAATACTAGTGGGATGCTTTTGGAGTCAAGATGCCAGTTGAAGCATTTCTTTTAGAATTCAGGAAAGTTTCCCTGGGAATGAGAGAAAAGCAAGGAAACATACTAACTTAATCTTTTATTTCATAGAGGAAATTCTATGAACGTTGTCTTGTAAGTGGAAAAAAATGATTCCCTTTTTTTTTTTTGGCCTAAAGAAGACTTCCACTTTGGAAGGAAGTATAGTAGAACATTGAATGGAAAATTGCAGACTAATATTTACCTGGGGCTATAAACAATATTTATAAATATTTAAAAAAATTCTATATTAACACTCAAATTTCTGGGAAAACTCTCAGATGCTTTAAAATTAAATATCTGCACTGTTGGCTCTGCCACATGATTATTTTTAGAATCTGAGAAAAGACACAAAAAGCTCCAAACTATTGAAAAAACATGTATATATCAGGAAGTTTTTCAATTCTAGCTTTCTATTACAAGAGACAGAGAAACAGAATGCCCAAGAATATGAAACCAGTGTATAAAATTTTATTCTTGTCTGCTTACTCATCATTCTACTTTATAAAAAAATTTCAGTAATATTTAAGTTTAAGTAGAGGAAGGCAAGAGTCAGAACTGTACTAGGTGAGGAAAAGAAATTAAAAGTAAACTAATTAGCATATCCAAGCATAGTTTGTTTTTTTTGGGGGGGGGAGGAGTAGGTATAGCTTACTGTTGAATATGAAAAAAAAAACTCATTAGAAAATCATAAAAAACACACAGAGAATGACATTTGAAATACATGTGTTTGAATTACAGTTTTAAGATTTTCATCAAGGTCTTCAGAGAAGCAAGTTCCAAATTATTTTAAAGTAGAAAGTGCCACCACATGGAATTCTGAATGAACGCTCTCTGTCATATTTACCTGACAGGCAGATATGCAGAAATTTTCATCTGGGGAAAATGGTAGCATCAAATATAGAATTTTATTTTAGAGTCAAACACTGTATTATCAAGCACTAAAGCTTAGAAAATAAGATAGAAACTTGGAAAACATGGTGGAATTGCAATGTTATGCCTACTGGAGAATCAATAAATATTTAAATGAATTAATAATGCAGATGAAAGCGTCTTTATCAATTTAGCAAGCAGGAATACATGTGTTAGGAAGGACCGTGACTTCTTAGCTCCTTAAAATTCACCTCTGTAGTCACTTTGGAATAATCTATAAATATTTGTCTTTCATGGCATGCATGACCCTTCTGAAAGCTTTAAATACTTTGTTTTCCTGTGTGGAGGCAATAGTTATTTATAGAAAGGCAATCAAACCTATTAAATTTGCTGAAATTCTTTGGTGAATTCTTTATTATGCAAAAACTGGGTTTTTCTCAGTTACCCATTTGATGTTTTCACGTAGAATCATCTAGTGACTCGAATTTCCCCTTTCCTAACTCTTGTTCGTGGGAAGAGGCTCAACTTTCCTCTCAGCTCTACAGGAACAAGCAGGTATGTACAGATTATCAAAACATTATGACCAGCCATTTTCCATGTAGTCCATTCTTCATGTTGTCCCCTAATGTCACACTACTTCTTTTTCCTTGTTAAATTTATATATTGACTTTCAGTTTAGAACCAAAGTGGATATATGTCCACAGAGTGATCAAATTTAGGTGAAAATGTCATAGAAAAAAGAAACTAAAACCAAACCAAAACAAAAAAACCACCACCAACAATCAAAATCCTCTAGAAAGACATGAAGTCAAGCCCCGGCTTTGCACACATTTTTGTTGTGTGATCTCTTAAATCTTTTTCCTTATCTGTGAAATCAGAATATTTGTGCTGCCTTTCTCAAAGAGCTGTTGGAAAGATTAAGTGATATAATGAGTGTGATAATATTTTTAAACCATAAACATACTTTATCACTTGGAGAAGGGATAATGATCATAAAAGTTTTTACAAAGATTGCTTCATATCCCATGTTTTTTTTGTTGTTATTCCTGAAAGAATAGTTTAATTTAGTGAGCTGCCTCAACCTGAGGCTGAGAGAAGCCAATCCACACTTTTTTTTCTCCTTTTTTGTAATGTGTAAGGAAGGAGTCCAACAAAACCTTTCTAAACACTTTTTTCTATATTTAAACAGTTGCACACAGTTCATTTTCCTACATACCTTCCCTTGTGGTTACAATTTAAAAGCCATATAATCTCTTCAAACACTTTGCAATGAATAAAAAACTCCAGAGCACAAAACTGAACAATCAGGTGGTAGGTGGGTGTAGACTGAATTTAAGTCTCTGAGGACGAGGGCTCCCTGAGGTTGAGTTCTTAAAACAAACAATAATAATCAGATTTAAATAGGTTAAGGATCAGTGACATTATTATAAGGTTACAAAGTCAATATAGTGGAGCAGCCTTCACCATTGTCTACTTTTTGCAGCTCCAAGATACTCTGGTGCAGAAGGAGGAAGAACTTGCTAGGTTACATGAAGAGAATAATCACCTCAGACAATACCTGAGTTCTGCTTTGGTTAAATGTCTTGAAGAAAAGACCAAGGTATGCAACTATCCCCTTTATAAGGACAGATTGGTGATTTGAGAAGGGAGACCATTTGGGTAAAGCTTCTTAGTTAAATGTAGGAAGTGTACTAAACAATGTGATTTCAAATGCATTTATAGGATGGATGGATTTTTCTGTACAAAATATAGTACTTTTGCAAGAATTTTTATGTATCATTCCTTGGAAGTATCTAGATTGCAGATTTTAGTCATATATTACAAAAGGAGTTGCTTAAGAATCAAACACCAGTCAAGAGAATTGCTGAGACAACAGAAGTTAATCAAAAGACAGAGTAGGATGGAACTTCTACCCAGTTAGATTCCATTGGAGAGGAATCACATCTGAGAGATAGTTCTTTTAATTATCTGTTTGACTTTTGGTAAATCATCATCACTTAGAGTCTCAGTTACTTTCATCTGTAAATGGATGGGCTAAAAGATCTTTTAAGAATCTTTCCAGCTCTAAAATGTTATGAATATTACTGTAGCTCAGGTCTCTTGACTAACAATTATATATCGCTAATTACACTATTTTTTAAGGAAAGTTTTTTGTTACCGTTTTAAAATGAACTATTTCTAACTCAAGGGTAAATAGCCTGTCCATAGTCCTGTTTTGTTCTTCTTCATTTATTTGGGTTTTGTACTTTTTGTTATTTGCCACTCTTGCTTCTATCATCAATCTTTACCTCACATTATTTGATATTACTTAATCTAAATTGATGATATTTCTTACTACTCTTACTAGATATAACAGTTCAGAGAAGAAAGGATATACTATATTTGATTCCTTTACTCTTCAGTTAGCTTTGTTAGAAAAAGGAGCACATCTCACAGTCATTAGCCTGGGCTCTTAAGTCCAGAAAAAGAACAGTTATTAACTTAGTCAGTGATATTTGTTAGGCAGTTTTTCCTCTCTTGTTCTCAATTTTGCAATGTAATATAATACAAATCACATGGGAGCGCTATGAAAAATAATGAAATAAGAGGAAGTGGTGTTACATAGTGTTTCAATCAGTGGTTCTGTCTAGATTCAGATGGTTTAGGTGTAAACCTAGGCTGCATGATCCTTAGCACTTAGCATGTCACTATGCCTATGCCTCAGTTTCTTCATTAAAGGAGATTTTAATACTTTAATAAAATAAGATCATGCATGTAACCAATTTTTAATACATGATATTTGCTATTATTTTCATTACAATAATAGTCATTAGTTCCCTTAATTGAAGACATAACTCACTCCTTTCAACTTTTAAACGACTTGTAAAAAATATAAATTTGAGTTTATAGGTGATAACTTCTCTTCATAGATTTTAATTTAGAAACAGAAGCTAATCCAGTTTTACATGTGTGTGTGAGAAAACAAACGTTTAATCAAGTTTTCTAAAGAATTAAGGTAACTAGTAAATGTTTGAAGGAGGTGTAATTAGACAACAGTAAAGAAAATAATCTTGCCTAATTACCTGACTATGTATATTTTCAAATATTACTTCCCCAGAAATTGTTGTCATCGTATGAGTTCTCCAAAGCATATGGAAAATTCAGAAAGAGGAAGAGGAAACCCAAAGAACAAAGATATTTTCCTCCTGAGATCCCCCATCGCAAAAATGCCAAGAGAAACCTCTCTAGTGAATTTACTAACTGTGAAGAACAACCTGGGCCCCCTGTGGATCCCTGGGTCCTTCAAACACTTGGGTTAAAGGACCTCAATACCATTGATGACACTTCATCAGCTAACTACAGTGCCCTCTCCTCTCATCCCAGAAGAATCACCAGCACATTTACCCAGTTTCCAGAGGATGTAATTGATTATGAAAATGCCCCCACAGAGGATTTGCCAATGGACTATGGAAGTGACATAACGATCTCGTCTCACAGCACTGCCAGCCACAGGGACAATTTTCACTTCCTTCCTCACTTTTCAAATCCCCCAGGAGAGCTGCAAACTCTTCCTTACTATACTTGTGATGTGTCACCCAATAAGACAGAGATGGCATTTTCCACATCCCTGAGCCCTCATTGTAATGTGAAAACTCATTCCTTCCACCAGGGACAAGCATTTGTTCGTCGAGATGAGGAAGGAGGCTGGAAGTTTACCTGGGTCCCAAAACAGTCTTAGTGACCTCTCTTCTATCAGAAAGACTACTATGAACTCTGTTTACAAAGACCTTTCTTGCACTTGAACCTAACTATGTGGAATACAGAAGCTATTTCCCAGACTGTCTCCTGCCATTTTAAATGTCACTCTCAATTACCCACTTAAATCTGCAGGGAATGGCTTCCAAGAATCCATAATGAAACATGCCTGCTCTTCTTTCAACTAAATTTAACTTGTTTACACACCAACACCTGCTGTCAACTTCCTCCCTTTGCCCTATATTTGAAAAGGTATTTTCCAATTGCCTATATATTCCTTTGAGACCTATATATCCTGTTCCAATTTTAACGAGTCTAACATATTTTCTCCTTCCATCAAGCAGTTTAAATGTTCATAGATTTCACCCTTTCACTGATATCCCTCTCCTGTTCCTCTTTATTTCTGAAAACTGCCTTCAGAATGAGCACCATTATTGCCCCAAGCACCTGTTGTTGAGTGTTCAAATAGCTGGAGGTGGGGTAGAAATGTGTCTTTGCCCATCACCATTGTTGAAGACATAATTTAGATATGGGTAATATTATGTGTAGTGCATTTCAGTAAGTTGAGCGTTCATGGTGGAGTTGACAAAGTCTCTTCAAACAGCTGTAACTACTGATAAGCAATACCATGGATTAATTAAAAGATTAAAGAGAATTAACATTACTTCAAAATGCCCATGGTATATCAGCTTCTATAGATACCTGGCATTGTCTCTTTAACTAATATGGCTCAAACAAGAACATTTTTGAAAGACTTAGTAACAGAATAAGTTATCTTTCTAACTACCCAGTTGCTGACAATCTTCTATTTCTGAAAATACAATCTAGCCTAGTTCTGCCATTGTCTTACTCATTCATTCATTCATTCATTCATCCATCCATCCATCCATCCATTCATGTATTCATTTTTTCATTCATTGACCCACCTAAAATATTTATAGAACACCTACTATGTATCAGGCACTGTGCTATCAGGTGGTGATAAAATGTGAGCAACTTAGACACTCTGGCCACTCTCATTAGACTTAGATCGACACATCTGTTGTGACCTCATGAAAGCTACTTGCCTAGTGTGAAGATGCAGTTTTCTCAGCTGCAGATTACAAAAGTTGAACTAGATAATCACTAATGTTCTATGAATTGAGGCTAGATTCCATCAGCTTTACTCCAACACTGCCATCCCAGTTCATTCTTCTCTTTAATTTTAATAGGCACTGCAGGTATGTTGGGTAAACTTTATATATAAGTAAAAAGAAATGTGAGCCAGTTCTAGAAACCACTGCTCTGATCATAGTATTTTTTTTTTTTCTGGTATGAGCCCATCTTACAGGTTAATTCATCTGTGTGAGAATAACTTGCATCTAACAAATAGAAACATTAATTTTAAATAAGTGCAAAGATTTAATGCAAATGTTGATGTCAAAGACTTCTTTCTTCCTAAATTAAAAAAAAAATGCATTCTTAGGGCTCATGCTACTTTTTCTTCTATCTTTCTCAAAAAACTGTACAAAACACAGATATATGCTTGTGTTTTTTGGACTAACCTCAATTCATGATAAAATCCACCATGTTGAACCTCTTTCTCATTTTTTTCTTTTTCACCTCTCAATATGTCACTTTGTACAATCAATGCCTGAGAGCGTGAGTATGCTGTTTAGAATTATTTGTAGTTAAGACATGCCTTTCGTCATTGTTACTATTTGGTTTTTGCTTTATTTTGGTGATCTATTTGCTAAGCAAATAATCTATTTTATAAAGTTTTATTACCACCCAGTTTACTTTAAAATTAATGAATGGAAATCCAAGATATTAACTAATGTTATTCTCCAGAGTATTTTAATGACTTAGGAAGAGATAGAACATATTTGATTTTCTTAAAAAAATAAATGCCTTTCAAATTCTAGTATCTGTGCCATTCATGAGTAAAATTTATCTCATTTTAATATAACACATTTAAGAATTAGAATTGATTGTACTTTAATACGCTAGGAATCAAGAAAGCAACACAACAATTTTGAACGTCTAAATGATCAAGCTGTAAGATAAAATTGACCATTAATAGATATTTATTTTGCATTTTTATGTGCCTTACCATGTGTTATGCACCATGAGGAAACACCCAGGCTTAGCATAATGCATTTGGTACATAAATCAAAGTCACATAAAATGTAATAACTTTTAAATGAAACTTGGTCTCAGTCTGGCTTAAAGAAATTACAGCACACTTGTAAATTATGATAACTTGCCCTCACTTATATTATGGATGGTAGCATGGAAGAAAATTACCACATCTTCCTGCAATCATATCGACACATTTTATATTCATTTGAATTATGTATAAAAAATTACTTTGTTGATGTTTGAGAAATTGGAAATGTCTCTCATCTGAGCATGTTTTAATTTTTGTGGTTTTGCCATGCTTCTCCAGTAAACCATGGTTAATATTTTACTAATATAAAGTGAAAAATAAAAACTACTTTTGTGATTGTGATGAATATTTTTATATTGTATATAAGATTTTCTAAAAATGGATTTCCTTCTCTTAACCATAATCTTGTTGATTTGCACCTCTTTTGTTTGATGTATATGGCCAGTCCTGTATCTTCAGCATTTAGGGTTTAATGTTTTTTTCTTTGTCAGGATACCTTAATGAGGCTTTCAGATGTTAAGTGGCTTAAAGAATCAAGTGCTTTGTGGGTACAGCACTCTCTTACCTAATCTCCCATGAAAATTATAATCCAGTATTAATTTTTAAAATTTAATGGAATTTCAAGTGTTCTTTGATCACCTGAAAATAAATCATATTTGTATATCACTAATATCTGGACAAAAGAGCAATTAGAAAAACTATAATTTTAAAAAATTGAAAGAAAAAAACTATGTGAATCATTGGAAAGAATTGCTCTATTTGATTATTTTAAGAGAACAGAAATTTAAAAAAAAAGTATGACAAATGAATTCAACAAACAATTTACATCACAGGTACAGAGGAAAGTGTAGAATAATTTTATCCAGTGATGATTTTTATAAGGTAACCTCTTGCCTATAAATTCAAGATACACAATTTTACATTTGTTTCAATTTTACCAAAAGCTTCACATAAGGTAACTATTAAATATATCACTTTTTCTCTATTTTTCATGAAACCAAATAAAATTGGTTTACAAGCTACAGATTTATGTTATGAGTATATTTCTTAACATTTATCTTATTTTATCTATATTTTTGTTATATTAACATAACCAGACATCCAGTTATAATTTTTAAATTGGATAGTCTATACATGTAAACCATAATTTAACACTTAATATTTTATATGATTATGATTTTTTTGTGTGATTTAAAATATTTAAAAATATATGTGAGTCAATTTTGTAATGAATTTATGTCTGATAAATAAATAAATGACAAAAACTTATTTAATTCTACTTTTGGCCCTTATTTTAGAAATGTTTTTCAGTGAATGGAACAATGGACTAAAAGTTTTCTGTACTTATTTCTGCCATAATTATCATGTCATAGAGATAATGTGTATTTTAATTTCCAAATAGTAGTGTGATTAATAATTGAGGCACTTATTCAGCAGATAATAGCACCAGTCTCTGCAGAAGCTATAAAGATGAATCATGTGCTAAAACTAACTTGGCTATAAATGAGAGAAACACAATTTAAACATGCTTAATTTGAACACAGAAATAATTAGCTCCCATAATTGAAAAGTTTGTGCTTCAGATATGTCTGAATTAGGTACTTAGCTAATAATGTCAGGAGTCTGGTTCAGGATCTAAAGGAAGGGTGATGATTAGGAAAGGATTCTGGAATGGTGTTAAGATGGTACTCACTACACAAAAGCATGACTGAAACCTGGATGGGGTAGGCAATGCAAGCCTGAAGAGCAGCAAACTATATCCTATAAGATATTCTCCAGTTTTGTGACAGTCTTGCCGTTCTTCATGTTTGTAGTCCTCCCCAAAATGAATAAAGCCTCAGTTAAATGTCCCAGACGAGTCTGTTACACCATAAGGAATTAAAAAAATATTGGGGTGTCTGCATATGAAAATTATGAGCAGATTTTCCATGAGGCTGCCATATAAGACATATATCCCCAAGGGGAAGGTTAATATAAAAAGAATAGTTCGAGGCTTTCATACCTGCCCAGTTACCCTTCACTACTGGAGATTCTCCTGTTACCAGTCATAGATCACCTGAATTTTATTTAGTTTCCTTACAGGGATATTTGATTTTGTTTTCTTGGAGAAAAGTACATCTAAAACTTGCTCTCTCTATATGATCCTTGAATATGGATGAGAGCAGGACAAGTTATTGGAAACACCTCATCAGAATGAGGTAGGTAACTTGATTCCCATTTTACAGATGAGAAAAGTGACTCTAAGTGATATGTGGATCACATTACAGTAAGTGATACCCGAGGTAACCCTGGCACTGACTTTAGGTCCAGTTCTCTTTCCACCATATCATACAATGTTAATGTTTGGGACTAGTATATGTCCTTATAGTCTGCTGTCTGTTACAACAGAGCTCGACGTCTGGAAGTATGGAGGGGGCCTTAAGTATTTGCTTTCATTCACCAGAGCAGCTATTCTGGGATCTAAGCCTCTCTTAACCCCATTATTGTTAAAAAGAATTATTCACAGGAGACCCAGTTCATCTTCTATCATTTCAAAAAGAGAGAAGTGTATAACTTGAACACTACTGCAAAAATTTGGGACAAAGAGAGTAGGATGGAAAAAGTAGATTACTTATGGTCAATAATATTGATGTGCTTCTTAAATGAAGACATGTTAGCTAAATTAAAAGGAAAATAAATCTCTCTCACAATCGCTGCTGGTCATACAAAAGCCTAAAGGAACAGTTATTAAACAATGCTCATGAAGTCTCTTTCTCCCTTCATATAGAACATAGATTTTGTACCTGTTCAAGTAACGACATGATTTCCTTTCCTGTCAATCCTTTTAAGTATAA